TTCAGCAGGGAGAGGGGATATTAGGGAACTCTGCTCAGTATTTTTGCACAAGGCAGAACTCCAGCATTAAAGCTGGGTTTTCCCACACTGAGTTTAGGAATGCACTGTGCTAAATGCTTTAGGCTTTACAGCAATTCTAGTGTAGGAATCTCAAAGTGGCTTAAAGCTGTTTTCCAGTCTATATTGGTTACTTACACTTTAAACCAGCTCTTGATCCCACCAGTGACACAGAAGCAATGTTTACTGTGAAGGCTGCTTTCCTCTTAGCTCAGCAAATCCAGCTCTGCAGGACAGAACAAATCATTGTTTTTCACTGCAGGCCTGAGAATCCCCTAAACTGGAATAGTTGAGGCAGCAATGACTGGATTCCATTTCCACCTACATCTCTCTAGATGATAAACATTTAGGGGGAAGGCTGATAACTCAGAGGCAACAAAAGAAGACAAGTGCCTATTTTCTCTGGTGCAAACCCAAATAATTGCAGAGGCCAACTTTGCAATAACTTTCTGCTGTGTTCTCTTCCTCATGGGGTGCCAATGAAAGAGCAGGGACTACTGTTTCCTGTCACCCATTTGAGTTTTAACTCCAGTTTTTTGCCCAGTAGATGTACAAGAATCACTTCTGGAATGCTCTATAAAACTCCTAATGTGCTGTGGTGATTCAGAGTGACTCACCATCCAGATGATGCTTTCTTCTTCTCCACACTGTACCTGGGCACACCCATTCCTCCTCTGGTGCTGTAGGAGGATTTTACTGGTCTGACATCAATGAGTTGGAGTACGTTAGATCTGAGGAATTCACCGAGCTTGGGAGAGTAGACAGAATAAAGTTTTCCCCTTTGACAGCAGTTTACTGTGCTGAATCAAAGGGGAACTTGTCCTCTGTTAGCAGGTCAAACCACATCTTAGAGCACTTTGAGCAAGGAGATGGGATTGTTCCTTGGAGATGCAAAATGTTCTGGGCTTTTCACTGGTGATTTGTCAGAGTTTATTAGAGGAAGAATCTATCTTGAACTCTGCTGAAGGGAGTATTTCTAATTATGAAGTTGACTGAGTAGTTCCCCATTTGTGGACCTTGTGAACCATATTGTTACTCCATGGGGAGGGGACAAAAAGGAAACACCTTTTCAATCATTTCTACTCCTTAAATTCACCATTTTGCAGTTGTTTCTTCAAACCTCACAATGTGTGTGCTGGATGTGGTGATTGTGTAATTTCTTCATGCTGATTTTGTGACAACCTGATGAAAATTTATCTTACAGAGAGGGTTTTTTTTTTAAGGTTGTTGAAATAGGAGCTTCATATCAGCTCTTAACAATCCTCCTTTATTCAAGCCCTTACACAATAGCTAGTTCTGTGTTTGAGTTGACTGTCCAGGGAGGGAGACATGAAGTGACTTATCCAGAAGCAACAAAGGAAAATTGACTCAGCTCTCCCATCCTGAAAGGGTGAAGGCTCAGCCTTTGCTCTTGTTTTATATGCCTCTGTACGTGAGAAATTTGTACCTTAAAGAAAAGTTAAAGGAAATGACTGAGGATATTCTCCTAGTAGTATCACTTATCTGCATGTTCCATCTGAAAGTTTCTGCCATTACCATCCTTGCAGCATCACCAGTGTAGGAATGCTTTTAATTATTTTCATCCACCTTGATGAGGAAGAAAACCATGTTTAACTTTAAATCTTTCAGTCTCTTTGGAGAAGAAACTGCTTGATATTTCCAAGCTGAATCAGTTTAGTTGCCTTTTGCAGGGCCTTGTGGCTTCAGTAAGTTACCCATAGGCTTGGTAACTATGTGAGTGATCTGCAAAGAGAAGCTGATTCCATCTGACTGGTCACTTGTGCCAAAGCAGGGATTTACAAGTGCATTGTTCCTAAGAGTGTTTGCCTGCCAGTGGGCACCACCAGCAATACCTGGTGATCACACTGTGTTTAGTGCTGCAGCAGAGCTGACCAGCCTGCCTGGCCTTGGGGAAGAGGTGAAATCCTTGCTCCATGCAAGGAGGTCACTGGTTCAGTTGGTTTGTTTCCCCGTGTGCACTTTGGATAGTGAGCTGTTGTGCTGCTTCTTTATACTGGCTCACCCTGTAATCTTTCTCCCTTAGGATAAAATTCAGAAGCTATATGAGAGGAAAATGAAAGAGGGAATGGATATGAATAAAATCATCCAGAGGAAAAAGGAGTTCCGCAACCCCAGGTGAGACAGACAGCATCTTGTCCTGTGTGACCAAAGCACCACAGAACAAGTGCCAAGAACTTTCTTCATTGGAGTTGTAGCAGAAAAAGGATCCTGAGCAAGAAGGACTACTGCTTAGAATAAAACTGTGTCTGTGACTGAAACAGTCGAACTCTTCTTTGTGTTCTGTGAGGCAACAGCTGGAGTTGGTGTGTTGCTTAGATTTGAAATGCAAAGGCTTTGGATGAAGTGTTTTAGAAGATATGTCTGTTCTGGGAGCACAGAAATTAGTTTGAGGCAAGTGGGAAATGGGATGTCACATCCAGCACAGCTTCCCAGGTTCTGGTGTCACTCTTGCAGTGTGAAGAGGTGACGACCTCTTTCTGCTGACCTATCTGAAATGCTCCTGTTTACTTCTAGCTCACTGGCTCTGCTCTGAGCTCTTGCTTTTTCTTTGCAGCATCTATGAGAAGCTGATCCAGTTCTGTTCCATTGATGAACTCGGTACAAACTACCCAAAGGTGAGGTGCAGCTTGTGGCTGGCAAGGGAGTGGGTGAAAGATAATACAGAGGTCTAAGGTCTTACCTCAGGCTTTCCTGAGCTTGCTTAGAGGTCCTTTAAGGGAACTCCAGTCTGAGCCTCTGCATTGAAGTGAACATTCCTGTGTGGCAGTGTGCCTCAGTGCCTCCACCTTGGCTGCAGTGACTCTGAACACAAACTGCTGAAGTGTGTAAGTCTAAATGAAACTCCTCGAGGGGAATAGAAGCTGAGCAGAATAAAAATGCATGACTTATCCCAGCATCCTTTTTGGCTTCAAAGCTCTTTCTTCATTCACAACAGAACATGGTCCCATAAAAGGTTTGATGTCATCTTTGTGTCACTGGGATATAAGAAGAAATCAGTAATGATTATAATTACCACCTCTGATTATCATCAGAGAACAGAAATACATAAAACATTTTTGAACTGGGGTTTGTGCCTATGTAGAAATAGTCCTAATCTGACGTACGTTTTTTCTTCAGGACATGTTTGATCCCCATGGCTGGTCAGAGGATTCATACTATGAGGCACTAGGTAATTCCAGGAAGTTTGGGGGTTTTTTGTCCTAGCTTAGGTCTTTGTGTTTTGTACTTAATTAACTGCACTGGAATCCTCACTCCCTTTATAAATGAGAAGTCATCACATGCTGCTCTTGAACGACTCCATTCTGGTTGGATGTGCCTGAATGTTATTGATGCTTCATCAGTCTGGAAAGCCTTTTCATTTAAATTGGTTCTTCAAT